AATTAGAGTAACTTTTATTCAGTTCCATTATTTTAAAAACATACTCCTTATTGCCTTTACCTAGAACCATCACTCCCACTGTCCCCTTCTTGATATGCTACTTCCCCATGAGAGGAATGAAGAGAGAAGGTGCTAGCTGGTTTTCGACAAAGAGGCAGGATGGAAGATGCCAGGGCCCCCAACTTTTAAAGATAAAAATTCTCAGACCTCTGAACTATTTGCAACTGAAGAGAGGGTGGTAGATTTGGGTAAGATGGCATAGAGTTCTTCATAGCGCTTGACAGTATAACACAATTTTTTATACTGAAACATAGTTTTGAAAGTTTCAACTCATCAGCTGACAGTATAACTACAGTTATTGATCATATAACTTCATTTTGAATGTTTCCACTCTTCGTTTTTTTCATTTCATCTTTGCCTAGATCATAGCCTTAACTTGTGGAAGAACTGTAGGTTTTAGAATCAAACAATCTCAGTTAAAATTCTGATTTATTAGCTATAGTCTCTGGATTACTTAATCTTTCTGAAACTCAGTTTATATGTCTGAAAATGGACATAACTCCACATGTTAGTCGTGGAGGATTCAATGAGATCATTCATATCTTATTCTTTTCTAACAAGCTCTGGGTATACTATAGTTATGAATATACAAGCATAATCACATAAAACACATCTCCATATGTTCAGATAGACCTGTGTGAGAAATAATAATGTCAGCTGACATTTACATTTAGTACAATATACCAGATGCTATTCTAAATGCTTTGGGTATATAAGCTAATTAAAGTGTCTGCAATGTGACAATGAGATAGATAAACTTAGTATCTTTATTTCACAGGGTATAGAACTGGAGAAAAGTGAAGTTAAGAAAGTGGTTAGAGGTAAAAAGATGAGAACTCTAAGGAGTTTATTTAAAATAGCACTGGGATGCTGCAGCTTTGGCTGAATGGAGTGAGAGAAATGGGAGAAGGACCCATCTTTGAGAACCTTTATATCAAACCAAAGGTTTGCCAATGGCAAAAATAAAATGAGGTAAAACCTGCATTATATTGCTTCAATAGCCAATGCTGCTATTATTATTATTATTATTATTATTATTATTATTATTATTATTATTATTATTATTATTATTATTATTATTATTATTATTATTATTATTATTATTATTATTATTATTATTATTATTATTATTATTATTATTATTATTATTATTATTATTATTATTATTATTATTATTATTATTATTATTATTATTATTATTATTATTATTATTATTATTATTATTATTATTATTATTATTATTATTATTATTATTATTATTATTATTATTATTATTATTATTATTATTATTATTATTATTATTATTATATGCCATTGATTAAAAATATTAGTCACTGATTATTTTGTTCATTCTCTATACTATATAATCTGAGAAGCAGAATATTACACAATATATCATTTATGTTGACTTTTTGCTAAAAATTTACCTTTCTAATTACAAGATAATCAAAATTATAATAATCCATGTTTCCTTCAATTTACCTAGCTCTTACTTAGTATTCACACACTTGTAACATCTTGTCAGTCAAGTGTTGTAAAGATTTTAATTTCTCAATGCTTGAAATATCCATATTAAAATCCATAGCTTCTTTGTAACCCTCTTTTATAGAAGTCTATTACTATAATAAAACCTTATGGTTATTTTAATAAAACCTTATTGTGGCCTAATTTAGCTGAATTCTACCACTGGGATTATAATTCATCACTGCTTCACCTTCCTAATGATAGGAAAACATGAAATAATGAGATGATCAACAGAGGGGCAACTACAGATTTAGAGACTGGGGACTCCTTGTGTTGTAGGCGACTGTGAATGTCCCCTGCAGGCCACTCCCTCTAGTTCTTTTGTCTCAGCATTCAGGTATATCTGGTTTCCTTTCACTTCTCTAACACAAAACAAAAGCGAACTGTACCTTATTTTTCTCAGTGGTATAATTATTCTTCCATCCAAAATTCTACACATACTTTAAACCTAGCATTACTCTTTTTCATTTTATAAAATCAGCATATTTTGGTCTTTAAAAAAATTCTATAGCCTTTGGGATTTTCTATTCTGATTGCAATTAAAAATTAAGCAAATAGTTCATGGTATAAAACAGCACTTTGTAAATTTTCTAGAAAATAAACTGGAATGATTATTTTCATTTTATTTTATTCTTATTGTCACATACTTGATTGTACATATCTGTGGGGTACAGAGTTGCATATCTATACCGGTGGAATGATTATGATATTTAGAAATTAGGCAGGTCAGATAAAGAATTTCTTTTTTATTTTTTGAATTTTTATTTTGTCGATATACAATGTGGTTGATTATTATGGCCCATCACTGAAACCTCCCTTCCTCCTCCCTCTCCCCCCTCCCACCCCACAATGTCCTTTCCATTTGCTTGTTGTAACACCTTCAAAGGATTGTAGTTGTTATATCTTCTTACACCCCGCCCCCCGGTTATTTTTTGTTTGTGACTGAATTTATTTATTTATTTTTAGCTCCCACTAATAAGTGAGAACATGTGGTATTTCTTTTTCTCTGCCTGACTCATTTCACTTAATATAATTCTCTCAAGGTCCATCCATGTTGTTGCAAATGGCAGTATTTCATTCGTTTTTATAGCTGAGTAATATTCCATTGTGTAGATATACCACATTTTCCGTATCCACTCATCCGATGATGGACATTTGGGCTGAGTTTCACTCAATATTATTCTCTCAAGGTCCATCCATGTTGTTGCAAATGGCAGTATTTCATTCGTTTTTATAGCTGAGTAATATTCCATTGTGTAGATATACCACATTTTCCGTATCCACTCATCCGAAGATGGATCTTTTTATTCCTCCTAACTTATTTCTTGTAGTGTACTTTATTTTATCCTATACAGGAATAACATCCTCCCTTTATTTGTCTTTCCCTCTCTCTGGTCATACCATCATCGCTACAGCTTCAGCACAGATTGCATTTCCTAGTCTGGATCCCCCAAACTCATCTTCCTGAATCCTGGGTACACAGCCAAAGCTGCCCTATGCACCTATCTCAGATACATATACTTAATAGTGTCAAAGATATGTTAAAAACATCTAGCTCTGGAATCTTATTCATTTTTAATTTATTGCTAAAATTTTATAAACAAGTTTATTTTAAGAGAACTCATGAACTAAAATCATTTGTTTATTATTAATATATATACATATATGTATGTACATATTTGTAAGATGAAAAGCACAGTCAAGTATCAGAGAAAGAAGAGATCCATCTTGTAAGTTAAAACTTGCTGGTGATTATGACTATATGAAACTGTCTGTAGTTTAATAACACATAGGAAATTTTAAAGATCATCCAGGATATTTCTACAGATTTTCTTTTTCTGCAAGGTGTCCCAGCTTATCTCAAGGGAAGGGAGACTCGAGGTCTGTAGAATCTAATTATATTTTTATTTGGGTACACTCAGAAGACATCACATTTCTTCTTTTCTCGAAACTTAATTCATACTTATATTTAAGTAAGTCCTATGTTTTTCCCAGCAGAATCTATTTATCTATTTATCATTCTCACTTAGTTGCATGAACTTAGGGCTTAAAAAAAAAAGAAAGGCTGCTTTAGCTAAGGGAATCTAACTCTGCAAATCAGAGGTTTAGAGGGAGAAGATTGGTGGTTGCAGAGACTGGAGCAATATTGTCCCTAGTCTGGAGGAAGGAAAGTGCTGACAATTCAGGCTGATCTCCCATCTCTTCTGTAAATGACAGGACATAACAGTGACAGACTCACTGTAGTACCTCTCTGGTTTAGAATCAGACATTTGGCTACCTCTATCATAAATCAGACAACAATAAATTATAAGGAAACTAAGGTTAATTTATAAGAACTCTTATTTTGTACAAGGCAAATCCCTCATACAAACTTTTTACTGTTTTCACTGAATGTTTACCACTCAGAAATGACTCAACTAAAATGTTTGAGATTGGATATATTCTACATAATGGAACTGGAGAACTCCTTTCTCCAAGGAGTCACACCTTTATGAAAACACCTTCTGGATCATAATATGAAGCATACAAAGTAAAACATATAGTTTTTTTTTTCTTTCCAAATCTGCTTATGGGCAGAACATACTATAAAAAGAGGTAGCTGGACTAGATGGATTAATAGAGAAGAAAATAAAAACCTACAATTCACTACTGTTAATCTATGTTAAAGGTACTTGCCGCCCTTCATGTAAAAAAGCCATACACCTTGACATTGTGCAATCAATGTGAAATTCTATGTAAAGTTTCAGAATTACTAAATAAATAAACATGGGGCTGAATCACTCATAATATTGCTATGATTTTATTTAAATTATTAAAGAGTTGTAAGAAAATAATAAAGAGTTCGCCAAATCCAACCAACAGCTGGTGATTGGTACCCATTTTGAACGTTTTTTCATTGTGTAGCTTGGAAATATAAGGTGCTTTCACTAAAAACCATTGGTCATTCAGACAGTAGCTAGAATATTTACATGTATTCTTTTAGAATTAAAGGAATCTCACTTAACTGACAATGTACTGCAAAATACCAATTAACCATGATTTAACTGATAATAGAATGCATTTTGATATAACTTGCTATTTCTTTTTAAATGTCAACACAAAATTCTTAGTTTATATTGGAATACCATTCTCTAAGCAGGAATAATTTTGTGTTTAAAAGTTGCCTAGAATTCAGCAAGTTTAATTTGTTAACAATAGTGAATTTAGAGGATTAGCTGTACAAAATTTTTCTTTACTGAAGAGCATCACGAATCAGTTACCTATGTCAGCTCTATAAATTGACTCATAATGAAAGTTTATTCATAAGGCAGAAATACCAGAACTCTGTATAAAGATTACTGAATTAAAGAGATGTCAATTACTTACTATCAAGTTTAAGTAAAAAAGAAAAGTGTCTTTGCAATTTAAATAAGGTAACAATTTATTATTAAAGAGTATTTATATATAAGTAACAAAACACAATTACCTTATAAATATCCAAAAATCCACACTGGTGGTCAAATCTGGTGTAAAGTTCATTCAGCATGCTAATCACTTGCATTGGAGTGCACTGGGCACATATGGCTGTGAAGCCAACAATGTCTGAAAAGAGCATGGTGACATCATCAAACTTTCTGGCCTGCACCTGCTGCCCTTGCCACAATTGCTGGGCTACATCACCAGGGAAAATAGAATACAGAAGATCCACTGTCTTCTTTTTCTCTTCCTCCAGGGCCTGGTGAGTTCTTTCTAAAGTTGCCTTTAATTTATCCATCCTCTTCTTCAAGCCATCTTGGGCCTTTGCTTGCTCACCAACCAAAATGACATCTCGGGTGGCATCATGGATAGGGATGTCTGAGAGATGCAGCCCTCGGCCCATGAGTTCATCCAACTTGTCCACACATGGAGAGCCCAAAAATAAAATGGAATTTGATTCTGGGACATGGATCATTTGTCCTTTGACTTCCATCACCTGTGAAATAAACATGGAATTTTGATCAGTACTCTTCATACAGTAGGTTCACCAAAATTAATATATTATTTGATGACTAGAAGGGAAAAGAAACGTTTTACTAGCTGTACCGACTTACTACATTCATATAAGCAAATTTAAATTTGACTTACAGCCCGTGTAAAATTCATAGTTCTGAATAGAAACGTTTTCTGTCTTAGCTACTTTCTGAAGACAATAGTGAAATGGAAAGTGAGATCAATGAAAATGAAACAGGAAAATATTTTTTATTCAGGATGAAACACTCTCAGGTGCACCATAAAACTGGCTTATGAGCCAATAAAAAAACTTTCAACCTGCCTAATAATAATATTAGGATAAATCCATCTGTCAAAATAACTACATTTAACTGTCATTAAAATAACACTCCTTTAGGGCCGGCCCGGTGGCGCACTGCTACAGTGCGCCGCTTGGGAGCACGGCGGCGCTCCGGCTGAGGGTTCGGATCCCACATACAGACCAGTTCCCGCTCACTGGCTGAGCGAGGTGTGGGCGCAACACCGAGGGTTGCGATTCCGTTGCCGGTCCCGGTCCAGTATGGGTGCGACACTGAGGGTTGCGATCCATTGCCGGACACGAAAAAAGACAAAAAGGAAAAAAAAAAAAATAACACTCCTTTCAGAAAATGAATCGAGAAGATTAAAATGAGTCAAAATAATTGCTTGGCCTGAGGTAAGTCATTTTTAAACTGGTTGTAATCCTTAGAAAATATAGTAGTCATTGCACTAACTAGACTACTGGACAATTTTCTTAATCTTAAAAATAAAAATATAAACCAGATATCATTAAGCCAGTATTACTAGTTAATAACTATCACTCAACTAGCATGTTCATATAAGCTACAAATAAACCAAAAAAAAAAAAAAAAAAAAGATAGCACTAAAGAAATAAGATAAAGAATCTGAAGATGTATTAATTTATATTTACCCTTCCTTTCTGGGCCCTTTCACTAGAGATTTTGAGGAAATGATGTTAAATGGAAAACTTAGTGAACACAGGCTTACTCTATCTTAGATTGGTACCATAATGAACACCTTCACTGGGGATGTGCACCAGTAGGAAGGAAGTTGGACTCAGGATATGGCTTTCCAAACACAGATATTTGAGCTAGACTAAGGTATTTCAGCACACCTGGAGAGGAAGCTGGTGGTAATTACTTGGAAAGAACAGGTTAGGAGTTGACCAACTGAGACTGCGCATCAGTTTCACCTACGTCCCTTTCCACTACCACATGTAATGTGCTCGATACATTTGTTTTCCTTTATTTTTCATATCATGGAGTAGTTAAGATGGTTTATAAAACTAGAGACATTGGACAAATACAGGGTAAACTATGGGGATTTGAATTTTTAAGCCTACAAATACATTTTACTTTGCTCCCCTGCACCATTCATCAAGATCTTGCTAACATAAGGAAATAAAGTCGAATCCTTGCTTGATGTTATAATCTTTATGAAATAAAATACTCACTTTATTTTATAGAAAGTTTCCACTAAAGTTCAGTATTTCATTCTTTTATTAATACTATCCTTATTTATTCACTGAGTATTTATTGAGTGTTTTCTATTTACTAGTACTGCTCTTGGTGATAAGGATAAAAAGATAAAACATGGTTCCCTTTTTCAAAAATATCAAAATATCACACTATGGTGGGAAACCAAATCTATACAGGCCAGAGAATAGGGTGAAGATGACACTCAATTCCCCACCCAAGGTGCAAGGAGGGCTCTCAAAAGACTGCAAGCTATGGTTTGAGTGCAAAGCAAATAATTAACCTGTAAAGTATTCCTGGATTATTTTATATGTGTCTGATATGCTTTTGGGGGGAGGGATGCTGTCAATGACATATACTTTCCCATTGTCAGGATATTAAGAACATAGTAAGGAGATATACATAATGTGTAATCCCATAGTTAAAAGTAAGATATTAAAATTTTTCTTAAGATTTAACATAAGAGCAAAAACCTTGATAAGCTTTGTAGAGATAATCATATTTTCAAAAGGCAATAATAACCTCTGATGCTCATGGATTTAAAGCATCTAGTCTCTCTCTCATCTCCTTATTTTAAATATGAAATCAGTGTATATATGTATGTGCATTAAAAATATATTATTTGCTATATGTAATAAATTTTAAAGTATCTTTCTTTAATTTACAAAGAAGCTGAGTTGAATAGTTTGTATTCTTGTCTCAAAAATATAAAACAATAAATATTTTTACTTTAATTGGAAAATAGTAAAAATTATTCTTCTTGAATTGTTTTCATTTCATTGTAATTATAAATTTAGAAATTCACCATGATCTGCATTTATTAATTTAACAATGTGCAAAACTATTATAGAAATTACATATTTTTATGTAGAGGAAACAGAATTGTGGAAAACTGCTCAGAATATAAACATGTCTGTAATGTTTTACTGCAGCCTAAATTATACTAAAGTTTCAATGAAATAGCATAAAAGGCATAAAAAAAATAAATTGTCATAAGATATATCGGATTTCAGAAATTGGTAAGCAAAATGAAGGGGAGTATTTGACTCTGGACTACAACCCACAAAAGTAGGCCAGGACCTGCATGTCAAACCTAGAGTTAATTGTCTGTTAAAATTAAAAATTTAAATATGATCTAGAGTGTCCTAACATAATAGCCAAAATATCTAGAGTATAATAGAAAATCAACCATCATAATAAGAACCAGGAAAATTACAACTTGAATTAAAAAAAAAAAACCAATCAATTGACAACAACACTGAAATGAATCAAATATTGGAATTATCTGACAAGAATTATAAAAGATATATCAGAAAATGTTTCAGGCCAGCCCGGTGGCGCACTGGATAGTGCACCGCTTGGGAAGCGCGGCGGCGCTCCCGCCCGAGGGTTCGGATCCCACATACAGACCGGTTCCCGCTCACTGGCTGAG